TACAGGCCGTAAACACAGTAAATGTTTATGTTCATGACATTACAATCAGAAAAAATGAACACGTATGGCTTTCAGGGAAGGATGTCTAGAAAAAAAGGCCCATCTCTAAAAAGTAAATGCTGTTTACACTTCTTTCAGCCACAGGACCTGGGGAAACTTGCAGTCATTGAGACAACAGTGGACTCCACTTTAGACCAGAATATTCATGAGACAGACAGTTATTATCTTTTTTATAAGCTCATGCTTTTGGTATTAATGTATAAATACTGATTATTTCACATGACACGATGGGACGAAGACATGACGTTACCACGGAAGAAGTCCGTGCATGCGCAACAGCGCTCAGCTTGCGCTGTTGCTCCGGGAGAACCGTGACAGGAATGAGAATCAGTGTACAGCTTAAGCTGGTCCCTCTGTCCCCCTCACACTGAGAGAGACGGTGGAGAAGGTGGGGGTGTTTGTGGATTATGAGGAGGGTCTGGTCTCCTTTTATGATGTGAAGTCCAGCTCTCGTATCTACTCTTTCACTGATCAGTCTTTCACTGAGAAACTCTATCCTTACTTCTGTCCTTGTTTAAATGAAGGAGGTAAAAATTCAGCACCACTGATCATCTCTCCTGTATTTAACACTGAATGAATTTTCACCTCACAGATTTAATCATTTATTAAATGGTGAGAATAAAAATAAATATTTTACTTTTTCTGGCAAATTTCAGAAATACATATTCTCTTTTGCAGTTTTTTTTACACATTATGATTGTGGAACTTTGTCATTACAAATCAAATATGAATAAAGATAATTTACAGTGAGAAATCTTGACGTTTTCAGCAAGTTTCATTCGTACTTCATTCTTTCACACTAGACCACAGAGAGAACTGGGGTGCTTGTAGAAAGAAGGTTTTCCTCCATATATTACAGAATATTACACTGAAATGGCTTTGAACTACAACAGTGATGATTGTAATCTGTCTCTCTTTCTCCTCTGAACTGTACAAGTTTTGGCTTTACACCTCCTGCATGCATTCATAATGAGAGCACATGGGGAAGAGATTTATCAACGCTCCTAAAAGTGGTTCAAGATTAATTTATAGAACTACTGTAATCTGGGGCGCGTGGTGGCTCACACCTCCAGGGACGGGGGTTCAATTCCCACCGTGGCCTTGTGCGTGCGGAGTTTGCATGTTCTCACCATGCTGTGGGGGCTTCCTCCAGGTAATCCGGTTTCCTCCCCCAGTCCAAAGAAGTCCGCGCATGCGCAACAGAGCTCAGCTCGTGCTGTTGCTCCGGGAGAACCATGACACTAAGTGAATAAATGTAAATGTAAATGTATAGGTGGATCTGTTTCTTTAAGTGGAATCACTCTCCTTAGCATTGATTTCTTATTAATAATTAGAAATGCACATTGATATGTTGATTGCTCTTGCTCTAGTAAAATACACGAGTTAACTTTACCTCCGAGTGACACAACATTTAAAAACCAGGATTAACATAAAAAAATCTAAATAATCTATAATCAATATAATACTTTTGAACCATTTTGGTTACATTTCTTTTACACACATGCTGTACGTCAGATGTGACAACATAAACCAAAAATATCCAAAATATGTAATTCATTCATTTAATTTATATAATACAGTAGAGCCGCAGTAGAACGCATTTGTTATGAAAAGAAAACGGAACGGAGAAACACAGCATGACAACAGGCTTGCTTAAAAAGACAGGAACAATTATGTACAAATGCATAAGCATTCGATGAAAACCGTGACTAAAAATCTTTTACTGCTGCTGTTATCAGCTGCCTTTAGATTTAGTGCTTGACTTTGTTTACACCGTTTTAATTTCACTTGTTTCTATTGTAATCCTGTTACGCCACGGCGAACTCGCGGCTACAGCACCGACGAGAACTACACTTCCCGTCCACGCCTGTGCTCGCCAGAGTACTGAGTGCGAACACCTGTGCTTCGCCTAAGGTTATATAAGACCTCTTTAACGACAGCTCGGTGCAAAATAAATAGCTTCAACGCTGCCGTTCTACCAAGCCTTTTATTTAGGTTTGGGATTTCCCTGGTTCACGGATTCCTTTCTCGTACCTGACCACAATTCTCTGGATTACTCCTTTTGGATTGTTTACAGACTGATTGTTTACTGCTCTGCGCGCGCTTGTTTCCTCGCAAAGTAACGTGACAGATTACTTCACCGTCCATGGAGGCAGCGGGTAGCTCAGACTGGCAACGCGCCTATTACAAGCAAAACCACACAATAAATGCACAGCAGGCTCAGATAGTAGAATTAACCCAGAGATTGGAGCGCCTCCGGGGGGCAAACTGTGTTCCCCCCACTGGTAACGTCCCTCCTTTAGTGTTTTCTCATGCGCATGCCCCACCTGCGCCTGCGGCGCCGGTGCCAGCTGCACCGGTGGTACACTGTCCGCCATTACCCATACCGGAGCACTACGCTGGTGAGCCGGGCTGATGCAAGGGCTTCATACTGCAGTGCCAACTGTTCTTTGAGAGCAACCCAGAGATGCCAGAAGCACTCCAGCTCACCCATTTCATGGAGCTACTCACAGGACGCGCCCTGGAATGGGCTACGGTGGAGTGGGAATGAGGAGGCGGGCAAAGACCATTGTTAGTGGACCTCTTCTCTGACGTGCCTTTGACCATTCCCCTGACAGCTGGGAGACCAGCCAGGAACTCCTGGCGATCATGCAGGGCTCATGTGACGTGGTAGACTATGCATTGGCGTTCCGTACCATGACTTCAAGAAGCGGATGGAATGAGCTGGCGTTGAAAACCACGTTCCATCAGGGGCTCAATCCTGAGCTGGTTCGGGAGTTGGTGTGCCAGGGTGAACAGCTGACCCTCGATGACCTCATCGACCTGGCAGTGTGGCTGGATCATCTACGCCGTACGAACTGTCCCACACGGTCGAGCACCATTCCATCTGAGCCAGCCCCGTCAGAGGAACCCCTGCAGCTTGGCCGCACCCAAATCCGCGAGAAGGAGAGAGAGAGACGACGCAGTGAGTCACAGTGCTTCTACTGCGGCGAGAACACCCACGCCGTTCACCAGTGTCCACATAGGAGGACACAGGCAAATGAGAGGAGCACAGCCAGCCAACCTCGTCATCCCTGGTTGAGTCCAGTCCAGTTTCTTAACTCTCATGTCTTTGTCTTACCTGTGGTGATGAGATATTCAGGTCAGTCTGTTGTCCTTGCAGAGTTCATCGACTCTGGAGCAGCTGAGAACTTCCTCAACGAAAGAATGGCGCAGACTCTCAGCCTCCCAATAAGGCACCTACTCCAGCCTCAGGAGGTTCAATTGATTCACAGTTCCCCAATAGGGGGCGGGGTCATATCACACTGCACCGCTCTAATCAACCTACAAATTAGTGCCCTTCACCACAAGACTCTCGTCCTGTACGTCACCGTTTCCACCAGGCACCCCATCATTCCCGGCCTTCCTGGCTCGAACGTCACATTCCTCAGCTGTCGTGAGTGGAAAAACAGGTCACCAAGTGGTTCCCATACTGACTACGACACTGCTTGACTGGCCCTATGGTTCCCGTGGCCGCCACGATGGTGGAGAGTCCCTGTCTCATGTCCCTGTCACAGTCCCGCTAGAATATTGTGACCTCAGTGAGGTGTATAGCAAGGAAAGGACGAGCGGCTTACCACCATACAGGCCTTACGACTGCGCCATAGACCTCCTCCCCGGAGCTAGCCCACCGCGGGGCCGCGTGTACTCACCCTGGACAGGGTGCCAGTCCATCTCAGACCTGACAATTTGTAATTTAAAATTATACTTAAACTCTAAAATTGATTTAATTAGATTATGTAATAGTTATAGTACTTAAAATTAATTATTTTCATTACAATAAGTGATCCAAAACTATTATTTTATTATTTATTACCTAAAAATAAATCCATTGTAATTGTGTTAAAAGGTTAGCGACAAGACCATATAAGCCAATTTTTGAAATTTGTTTACGAATCAACCACTGCCAACAAGTGACTTCTGACTTCAATTGTGGGTGAATTTAGAAAAAAAAAATCCTTTTTCGTATCAGTACAGGAAAATTTGTAGAAATTCAGGTCTGTGATTTTCACAGCTTCACTACAGATGCAGTTTACTGTATAGAGACAAGGTTGAAACTAATTACATTATTTCTACACAATAATAATAATAATAATAATAATAATAATAATAATAATAATTTTATTTAAAAAAATAACCGTCCACCCCCTATTAACAGCAAGTCAACATCAGTATGTGTAACATATGCGTGTTTTTTATCCTAATAATTAACGTGTGACGATGCATGTGTAGTGTGAAAGAATATAGACAGATTTCTTAAAAGAAAGCTCCAGATACTTTGTGTGTCTGTGTGTGTTTACCTTGCCTTGTTTATGCCCGTTTGGATTGTCTGGTCTGTTTGACCATGCCTATGTCTCACATTTTGTATTTGTCTCGCCTACAATAAAGCTATTATCTGCACTTGCATTCGTTCTAACCTTCATTTCCAGACAGCTTGTCCATCCATCCATCCATCTCCTACCGCTTTGTTCAGGGTACACCTATTTACAAACACTGTGTAAAAAGAAAGCAGCAGAGAGGCAGGCTGAAGGACTCATTAAAGAACTGGAGCAGGAACTCACTGTGCTAAAGAGGAGAGACACTGAGCTGGAGCAGCTCTCACACACTGAGGAGCATCTCCACCTCCTACAGGTCAGTGTTCCTCTCTCTGCTCACTGGCAATGCAGAACATCACAGAACAACACTCACCATGCTGAGGGATTTCTCCTCTCCTGCTGTGAGGATAGCTCTGTCTCAGCTTCAGAATGAGAAACTCACTAAAACACTCAATGACAAGTTAAAGGAAACAGATGAGAAACTTTCGGTGTAGTATAATGTCTTTTAATGGGCTGAGAGAAATACAGAAAAAACTTAAATCTAATTAAAGTGATGTTTTTTGTAATTAGTTTCCACAGAGTGGGGGCACCCTGGCATAGTGGTTAGCATGGTTGCCTCAGACCTCCAGGGTCCGGGGTTCGAGTCCCACCGGGGCCATGTGCGTGTGGAGTCTGCATGTCCTGCCTGGGCTGTGGGAGCTTCCTCCGGGTACTCCAGTTTCCTCCCCTAGTCCATGGTAGGCTGATTTGCGTGTCTAATGGGTGTAGTGTATGATAGGGAGTGTGTATGTGATTGTGCCCTGCAATGGATTGGCACCCTGTCCAGGGTGTACCCTGTGAAATACTAAAACTATCTTCTAAATATGCAAATTTTCAGTATCAAACTTTGGACATTTGCTGGCGGAGGCCCTTAATGCCCTTGGTCCTGGAGGCCTTCAACAAATCCCTCTGCCATTTGACTGAGTTTACTTATGCGCTTTCCAGTGAAAAATATGTCCGTGTAAAACCAGTCCTCCACCTTTTCAGCTCCTCTAACCTGAAAGTGAAGGATGATGATCCAGACCTAACATACACCATTAAGACCAAAATCTTGAGCTACCTGGATAAAAAATACAAGGAGCCTCTGACACAAGAAATGCTTGACATTGACAGAATTTATTATAAATGAATTAAATGAAGTAGATTCAAATGTGCTACATTTGAATTATGTGCTGTAATGTGCTGTAATCTACTTTCTGGATATGGATGTTAAATACATTAGATAATTGATCATTAGATTTAGTATAGACACTTTTCATGGAGATGGGTCCAACTGATCCCCATGTTGAAACTGCTGAGGAGCCACTGAGGGAACCACACCAAGATCCTCACCCCACCACGAACAACAAGCTATAGCCTCTGAGCTACAGTCTTACCTACAATTAGACAATTCTGGCCACAAGTTCCCCCTCAGACAGGGTTTTTAGCATTGGGGGAAATGTAGTGACCTGCCTTCGCTCGTCTCTCAAGTCAGAAAATGTTGACAGACTGGTGTATTCTTGCCAAAAACCTGTAAACACTGTTATTGCCTTTTCTGCACAGGCCTGAATTGTTTTCATTTGGTTGCATATTGTTATATTTAATTGCATATTTTCATTTGGTTGATGGCATTTTTATTTCTACTTATCCTATATTTTGGGTACAATTTTATTTAGATTTTGCTTCTACGATATGATGCACTTTAAGGACCCGTCTAATCTGATGCAAAGATTTGTACATTAGCAGGAATGTAGCACAACATGGTGGTGAAAGCAGTGGTCTGTTTTTTTTTTTTTTGTGGAAGTGTAATAAAAATATGTTGTCTCTAAAATCAGTGAATAATGGTGATAAATAATAGTGATCTCAATATTGATCGAAATAATCATGATTATCAGTTTAGCCATAATCGTGTAGCCTTATGTGAACCAATCAGGTAGCGCTTCCTTCATGAATATTAATGAGGTTCTCTCTGTCATCCTATGTTTAAGAAATTTGTTTTCTGAAAATAGACCACGTGATTTCACTTTTCTACCTGCATATGGCAGAAATTAGTGCAGATAGAGGATTCATATATCCATTCATTTCTTTTTTTTTTTTTAAGAACACAATAACCCTGACATGTTTATTTCTAAATAAAAGATGAATGTGATTGTGTTTGATGAAGTTTGAAGGAGAAACACATTGGTGTTCGGTTTTATCCACACAGACATCAGCAGCTGAACTTCATACATTTTATTGATCATATTAAATTCTACAGTAAAACTCAGTGTGAACTGTAAATGATTTTTATTCATATTTGATTTGAAATGACAAAGTTCCACAACCGTAATGTGTAAAAGACAGATTGAAGGATTAAAAAGATTTGTTTATGAAAAAAAACACACCCACCAAACAAACAAAGAAACAATCAGGAATTAAAATAAACTGTACAACATTTTAAAAGGGAATATGTATTTCTAAAATTTACTACAAAAAGTAAAATGTTTCTTTTTATTCTCAAGTACAGGAGAGATGATCAATGGTGCTGAATTTTTACCTCCTTCTTTAAAACAAGGACTGAAGTAAGGATAGAGTTTCTCAGTGAAAGACTGACCAGTGAAAGAGTAGACATGAGAGCTGGACTTCACATCATAAAAGGAGATCAGACCCTCCTCATAATCCACAAACACCCCCACCTTCTCCACCTTCTCTCTCAGTGTGAGGGGGACAGAGGGACTAGTACCAGCCGTATACTGATTCTCATTCCTCAGCCCCACAGTCCAGAATCCATCTTGAGGTCTCAGTGTAATCTTCCTCTTTCTGTTAATGTTCTCTCTCACGACTCCTAATGTCCACTCAGTTTTCCCTCTGACCTGCACCTCATAATAAAATCTCCCTGAGGAGAAACTCTGCTTTCCCACAACATTAGCACATTTATTAAACCTCTGTGGTGTATCAGGGAGATCCTGTTCTGTATCTCCAAGCATCACTTGTTTTCCATCAGCTGACAGGATGAGATATGGATTTGCTGTATCAGGATCCAGAGTCACATCCACTGAGAGAAACACACAGAGTGAGATGTGAGTTTGCAGGTAAAAATATTAAATCAGTGGATCAGATTCATTAGGATTTATAAGAGGATTTGTAGAAGATTAAATAATGAAACATTTTTTAAATTATCCTTTGAAAAAAAAAATAGAAAAACTTGTTCAGTTGATGGTAGGAGTCTGTCAAAGATGAGAAATATAAAATGTTTTCCTTCTGAAACTTTATTTCATATTATAGAGTCACAGAACATGAGAGAAATACACACACACACACACACACACTTTTTTTTAAAGTTTAATACTCATGCAGTTAAAAAGTTCATTTCTGTTCAAACATACATGTTTCCTGCATGACTTTCTTAGTGAAATGTAAGAAGTCGTCTTTCTAAAGTAGAAAAGGGTTTAAGGGCTTTAGTGCATGGCAGTAATAGGGAGATATAGTGAGGAGGATAATGAGAGACACTTTAAGACTTCCTTTTAGCTGGAGAGATCTACAGATGAAAATCAGTCTGATGATGCAGTGGTGTAATGCTGATATGTACATTTTAATATGAGAGGAAATCAGAAAGCTCACTGTACCTGCATACTGCTGAATCCTCTTCAGTTCTGTGGAAACTAATTACAACAAAACATCACTTTCATTAGATTTAAGATCATTTTAATGAAACACATTTTAGATTTATGTCTGAAAGAAAATGTTAAATCTAAAAATGTCTCACCTGTTTCCTTGAACCCGTCTTCCAGTGTTTTAGTGAGTTTCTCATCCAGAGTCTTCTGAAGCTGAGACAGAGCTGTCCTCACAGTGTCCCCACTCAGATCAGTGTTAATACTGATCTCAGTCCAGTTCTTGGTGTGTGGAGGGCTGCACATGGAGGAGTAAATCTACAGTAGAGCAGGAGAGAGGAGAAATCCCTCAGCATGGTGAGTGTTGTTCTGTGATGTTCTGCATTGCCAGTGAGCAGAGAGGAACACTGACCTGTAGGAGGTGGAGATGCTCCTCAGTGTGTGAGAGCTGCTCCAGCTCAGTGTCTCTCCTCTTTAGCAAAGTGATTTCCTGCTCCAGCTCTTTAATGAGTCCTTCAGCCTGCCTCTCTGCTGCTTTCTGCTTCTCCTCCATCACCTCGAGCAGCTCAGCCTGACTTCTCTCAATGGAGCGAATCAGAGCAGTGAAGACTTCAACACTGTCTGCTTTCACTTTCTCTGTGCTTCTCTAAAGAAGGAACACATTTTCACTTCCATCAGATAACACTGAATACTGAAACAATGTTTAATGCAGTTTGTCCATTTCTACAAAATAAAAAGAAAACTACTGAATAAACTCATGTCATGTTGTACACACTTTACAGAGGTCTACGGAGTGTTTTATCTCTCGGATTATCTTCAGTCGGTCCTGAATCATCTGCTGCACATCTCTATGTGATTTCCCCAGCTGTGTCTGAGGACAGAATAGAAGAAAAATAATTGACCTTATTCTTATTATATTCGTCCGTCTGTTTTGTTAAAAACTGAATTTAATTTAATTAATTTTGTGTTTGGTGCAACAAAATAATTAAATAACAAATATTATTATTACATATTATTTCTTGGAATTATTCTATTTGAAATAAAAATCTTAGTCTGATCTACTACAGGATAAATTAAATTGCAATATCCATAATAATGTCAAAATCTGATATTAATTATTGTTTCTTAATGTAGGTAGATCTCCTTGACTGGTCATGTTAAAAGTAGCACCCAAGTCAAAAAAGTGTGGGCACCCCGCTGTAACAAATCGTTTTCAGTAATAAATTATGTTAGTTGTTGTTTCTCACCTTCCTCTCTCTGCTCTCCTCCTCTATAGGAACAGTGTTGTGATTCTTGTGATCTCCTTCAGTGCAGAACTTACACACACACGTCTGATCATCTCTACAGAACAGCTCTAGAGCTCTCTCATGTTTCTGGCATATGTAGTCCTCCAGGTTCTCCACAGGGTTTATTAGTTTGTGCTTCTTAAGTCTTGGAATATTATTATGAGGCTCTAAATGAGTTTTACACAAACGTGCACAACAATCCAGACAGGATTTCAGTGCCTTCAGCTTCTCTCCAGTGCAGGCATCACAAAGAACCTCAGGATTGTCAGGACCACTTTTCTTCTTGAAATGATCTGCAACATCTCTCAGTGTTATATTAATCTTCAGTTCAGGTCTCTTGGTGAATTTCTCTTTACATAATGGACAGTGACAGTGTTGACTCTTCTCCCAGCACTGTGTAAGGCAGCTCTTGCAGAAGTTGTGTCCACATGGAGTGGTGACTGGATCAGTGAACACATCCAGACAGATCGAACACTGCAGCTGCTCTTCAGACAGGAGACTGCTGGAGTCACGAGAAACTAGGTTTGATAGAACAAAAGTTACAGATTGTTTATAAATAATGTAAAAAATAATTTAATTAGTTTCAACCTTGTCTCTATACAGTAAACTGCATCTGTAGTGAAGGTGTGAAAATCACAGATCAGAATTTCTACATGCAAGCTATCTGCAGGTTTGAGATCATGAAATTTAAGAATTCTTAAGACTTTGTAAGGCAAAATAAAAGACCAATTAAGACCAAATTCGCAAATTAAAAAATGGTTTAA